CGCGAGAGCCTGCGTGCCGCCCAATGCACACGCCCACGGCCGGGCATCGAGCACGTCGCCTGTGCAGCCTGCCTCCACGGTCTGGCGTGGGCTGCTCCTGTCCCACTCAGGAGCCTCGAGACGGGGGTCAATGCAAACGGGGGTCAGCCAGAGCGCTGGGTCTTGCAGGATCTTGCAGGGCCAGGGTCGCATTTGCCCGGGCTTGGGTGCAGGATCCTGCAGGGTATCATATCTGTGGTTTCCTGCTGGCAAGAGGAACTCGTGAGCCAGTTTGTGCAAGAGGCAAAAAGCGGTGCAACCAACACGACAACCACCAAGAACGCGCGCAACCAAAAGCGCAACGAAACGTGACATAACAATGACGACTCACATTTCCCGATGAAAACACAGTGAAGCCTGCGCCGACAAATAGTGCAACACGAAGTGCGTCCCCAAGACGCACAGCTGGGCTCAGCTTTTTTGTTACGCATTTTTGTTGCGTGTTCGTGTTTTGGTTCCGCTTTTTGTCTGTGGATTCTGCTTCAGGGGATCTCAGTCGTGAGGAGGAGGATGCGGAGGAGGAGGAGGAGGAGGAGGAGGCGGCGGGGGAGGAACTGAGGAGGCTGCCAAGAACGTGGCGGCCGCTCCCTCGAAAGGTTGCGCCCTCATGTCTCGAGCAGCCCGCATGCCTTTCTGGATCTTAGCCCTGGGCCTCGGATCCCTCGTAAACTTGTGTTGCTGGCACGTGTGGATGCCAACTGGGACCATGTCCCAGCTGCGTCGCATGTCGTGCGGATGTGGCCTCAACGCTGTAATATTTGAGAGAGCGTGATCCACCGCCGCTTTACTGTGGAAAATTCCCCCCCCCCTCTTCCTCCGGAACCCGAGGTTCCCCCCCCCCTCCGAAAATCTCTCCTCCCCCTGCTGGCTGGACCCCCCCCTCCCCCGGCAACCCCCTACCTCCACCCCCGGCCTAACGTGGGGGGGCATCCCCCAACCGGAGGGGGTCCTACCGGTTCGAACCCCTCCCCACCCCCCCGTCACCGCCAGCAAACGACTCCCCGTCCCTACCACCGTCCGCAACACATCCCCCACTGTTGTTCTCAGCACCACTGTCCTCACCACCACTGTCCCCACTGGTTCCACCGCCGTCCCTACTGTCCCCACCAGTGCCCCCACCACTGTCGCACTGTCCCCACTGTCCCCACCACTGTTCCCACCACGGTTCCACTCTCCCCACTTTCTCCACGGCCCCAACCACTGTCCCCACCAATGCCCCCACCACTGTCGCACTGTCCCCACTGTCCCCACCACTGTTCCCACCACGGTTCCACTCTCCCCACTTTCTCCACGTCCCCAACCACTGATATCTGTCCCCACTCCCACTGACTCCGCCGCTGTCCCACTGAGCTGTCCCACTGTTCCCACCACTGTCCCCACTGTCCCCACCACTGTCCCCACTGTACCTCTGTCCCATTGTCCCACCGCCGTCCTCGCCACCGCCTTCACCACTGTCCCCACCACCACTGTACCCTCCACTGTCCCACTGTTTCCACCTCATTCCCACTGTCCCCACACCACTGTCCCCACCACCACCGTCCCCACCACTGTCCCACTGTCCCCACAGTTCCCACCATTGTCCTCACCACTGTCCCCACCACTGCCGTCCCCACCACGTCCCCACTGTTCCCCACACTGTCCCCCCATCACCACTGTCCCCACCACCGTCCCCAACACTGTCCGACCACTGTCCGCACCCCCCCCTGGTTTTCGAGGGGGGGTGTGTTCGAACCGGTAGTGACCCCCCCCCGGTTTTCGAGGGGGGGGGGTTCGAACCGGCAGTGACCCCCCCCCCTTTTCATGATAGACTGGGGGGGGGGAGGGGTTCGAACCGGTAGTGACCCCCCCCGGTTTTCCGGAGGGGGGGGGAGGGGGGGGGTTCGAACCAGTAGTGACCCCCCCCGTGTTTTCCGCCAGCAGCGGCAGAACACGCTCTTCCTAATATCTCAATATTCACACTGAGCCGTTTTTCACGCCTTCGTCTTTCCCCATTGCGCGTAGTCAAACGTATAAGGTTTCACAAGCTAACGAACTTTCTTCACTTCAACCCGTTTGCAAATTTGCAACCGCTCAGTTATATGAATTGTGCGTCCAGAACCTAAGCAGGTGTAGGACAATGGGGTGGGGGGCGAGAGCGAGGACGTGGAGCAGGAAGAGGGGAGGAGGAGTGGAAGGCTTGTGTTGAAGGAGGGTACATAGCAGGAGGCCTGGGAGCTTGAGATGACGGAGGAGTGAAACTGAACACATGATGCTGAGGAGGGTGGTAGGAGGATGATGACAAGGAGGAGGTGTTTGAGGAAAGTGTAGAGGCAGCAGGAGCGACAGAGGGGGATGCAGCGACGCGAAGGCGGCGGCTGCCACGAAGCCGGCCCTCGCCAGCGATGGGGCTATCCCGAGCAGGCTGTGGGTCATCTCGCCGCACGGGCAGCGGAACTGCGAGGGCGAGTATTTCCTCGACAAGGCTGGGGGTCTTCACCTCTTTCCTGCTGCTGCTCCTCCTCACGTCGGCCGCTGCTGCTGTGCCGCTCGCTGCTCCTGCTCCTGGCTCGGGCTCCTCCATGCCCCTGGCTCTTGACGCCCTGTGCTGCTCCCGCTCCTGCTCCCGCTCCCTGCTCTTCCGCATCTCGCGGGGCGCCGCTCCACTTCTCCACCTCCTGTCCTCCCCTTGCCTTGTTCGGTTTGGGAATATTTCGAGATGTGCTTGTTTTTGTAGAAATAAGTCCGTGCCGTGTATGTCTGTCTGTCTGTTTGTCTGTCTGTCTGTAGGTAGGTATGCATGCATGCATTCATGTATGTATATATGTATGCATGTCTGTATGTATGTACTTACACATTTTATATGTATGCATATATGACTGCATCAATGTGTACATGTATGCATGCATGCATACATACATGAGTGTGTGTGTGTGTATGTGTGACGTACGTCTGTGTGCATGCGTGTATACATGCATGTATGGATGTATGTAAGTAGGCTTGCAGCCACGAGCTTTAAGTATAACGTATACATGCATTTATCAATGCGGGCAACTATGCATGCATGCAAACACGTATACGTGTATGCATGTATGCATGCACTGATGCGTGCACGTATGCATGTATGGTTGTCTGTTTGTATGTATTCATGTATGTAGGTATAGAGGTACGTATGTAATGCATAGTTGCATGTACATGTATGTATGTATGTTTGATGTCTGCATGTATACATGTGTGCATGCATGCATTCATGCATGTGTGATTGTGTCTATGTATGCGTATATGTATGAATGGGACTGTATACACATGTATATATGTATATACTATATACACATACCTATGATCGCTCCGGTGATCCTCCTCCTCCTCCTCCTCCTCCTCCTCCCCAGCCCCCGCGCCCAGGCTGTCCTGCACACGGGGCTGGTGTACATGCGGCCCCCCGCCAACCGTGCCCGTGCGGAGCTGGCGGCCACCCCACTCGGGCAGCACTCTTCACTCACTGTACTCTCAGTTGGTGTGTTCTGCTTGCCGTGTTCTTGCTATGCTGACATTCGTGCATTGGAACTGTATGGCGGCAGACGAGGGCATATTGCAAGATACTAGTGAGGAGGTGCGCACTGTGGACATCATCGCACTCACAAGCACGTGCGAGCGGGCGGCACCTGACCAACCCACTGTGTTCACCACGCTGCGCTACCACTTCGCGCTCAGGTGCGGATACACACCAAGCAAGTTTGTCAATCGATCGTGTGGCGTTACTCTTCTCCTCCGAAAGCGTGTGTTTCGACGTCGACACCTGGTTGACGTCCCTGCTGTGCCAGTCTCTCTCCGAGGACGTGTTGCGTTATTTCGACTGCGGTATGGCCGCTTCGACATTCTTATCCCAGTGACCTACTTCCCTCCGAAGCCGTCGGGGAAGCGTGCGGGCCGCGAGAGCGATGACGGTCCGCAGCGACAGTGCAGATTGACTGTCGACGCGATGATCTCGTGGCTTGAGAAGACTTTGACTTGGTCTTGCAAGCGGTCTGCCCTTCTGTGGGGCTTCGACATGAATGACTCGTTCGGCTGGCGTCGGAGGGCGGGCGGCGTGCAGGAAGCCGTCGTGTCGCCCGCCCTGGGTCCGCGCAGGACGGGCGAGCAGAGGTATGCTGCTGATCGCGTCCTAGAAGTCATGGAGCGCCACGCTGTGGCGGTGACCTCGACGGACTTTCCCCTTGGGGCCCAGCTACTACGGAGCCGTGGGGTCGTCTCAGATCGATGTCGTGGCTATCGTTTCCTGGCAGAAGAGCATGGTTGACCGCTGCCTGGCGATGCGCTCGTCCAACTTGCGGCTGAAGCTGGTCAAGAAACGCGGGCTTCGAGATCATGTGCCACTTTTTTTACGCCTGAACTACGCGTTTGACATGGCGGCATCCAAGCACGGCACGCAGTGGGACTTCGACAGACTCGGGGAAGCTCTTCGTCGATGCACAGGAGTGGGCGCTTTCGTCGCGGACCTGGAGGCGCAGTTCGAGGGCGTGGACTTCCATGAGTTACTGCTCCACGCCCCCGCCCCCGATCTTGGTTGGGAGAGATGGATGACTACTGTGTTCGAGGTCGCGGACAGGCACTTCTCACGCGCTGCCGCTGCTGATCCTCAGGCGGCTGAGCATGCTCGAGAGCGGAGTCGCCTTCTCGAGGCGCGACGCTCGGCCAGGGCCAATGGAGACGACGACTTCGCAACGTCCATGAAGTTGGCTCGGCTCTCTCGTCATCTTCGCCAGTTGCGGAGGGCCCGCCAGGCAGCCGTGACTGAACAGCTGGTGTCGGGGATCGGTTCGGCCTGGGGAAAACGACAGCATGCTGAAGTCTGGCGGCTGGCCCATGCGCTTGCTGCTAAATGCGGGGGCCACAAACGTAGGCGGTACAACGCAGTCGACGAGTTCGTTCCGAAGATCGCAGAGATTCGGGGGCACTTCGCCAAACGGGGGCCCCAGGGAGGTTTCGAGGCCGTGCCGATCGAGTTTCAGGAGTGCCAGCAGGCCCAGCTCGAGGTCGCCCCGAAGCGCCCCATGTACGGTATCGATAACTTCGAGCACGTAGAGCTAGGACGGTCTGACCTCGAGCAGGTTCTTGAGCTGCTGGCGAAGGCCCCCCGTCGTAAGGCTGCCCCTCTGCACAGTGTACCTTCAGAGGTCCTCATACTGGCCCTTCATCCCCAGCGAAGATTCGACGGCACTTATCGGCGGCCGAAGAAGAGAGACAACGGCGATGAGGACGGCGACGGCCCTTCTCGAGCTCCTGCCTTCGTTCCTCGTCATCGACTAGCTGGGGATCGTCGTGGGCTAGGCGCTGCACTCGAGCCGTTCGACAACACTCACGCGCTCAGGGGGCGCCAGGAGGTGTTCCACCACATCAGGAGGGTAGGCAGGACCCCGCTGGTCTGGCATCGCTCTCGGGCAACTGGACTGAGCAAGCAGAACGGCAAGCAAGGTTATGGGGCCCTCAGGTACATTCATGGGCTCTGTCGAATGGGGGTTGTCTGGTTTAAGGCGCAGCTACTGAAAGGTCCCCCCGATGAGGCCCCAGACCGTGAACACGGGTACCATCACGGGCGCAACAGGGAGGGGGCCATGATCTGTCAGGAGGCTCTCTTGGGCAGGCTGCGCAGCCTGGGGATCTCTTCAGTGACTTCGAAGGAGGATATGTCTAACGCCTTCGGGTGCTCTACGCTTCCTGAACTTAGGCGCACTGTGGCCGCGTCTATCGCGGGGCCTGAACAGGCCTACTTCCATCGCAGGCATGAATACAGTACCTTTACTATCACGGGGGCCGACGGGGAGCTTACCATGCACAATCGCTGTGGAGCTTTCGTGGGCGACAGTCCAGCGGCAGTATTTTTTCACGCACTTCTAGGCGAGCCGTGCAGAAGTGGCTTGATTTTATGCGAGAGCAGGTTTGGCTTGCCGGTGTCCCCCCTCGTCCTCTCTCGTACCAAGAGTGGCTGGATCAACCTCTCGGTCCTCGTGCTCCTCCCCGCGACTGGGCGCGGGTGATGTGGCCCGGCGAGTCTCTGTGTACAGCGTGGGCGCCATTTATCCAGCGCCCCGTGGATCTCTCGTGTCGCATATATGCTGACGATGCCAGTAAGACTCACGTGGCGACGACGGCTGAAAATGCGCAGTTCACTTTGAATGCGGCCCACAGGGGCCTGACGGCTGCTCTGAGGGAGAGTGGGCACGCACACAACCGTGGGACAAGTAGCATTTCACCGTCGTTCGTCGGTCGAGGAGCTCACGCACATGTTGCGGCGATCTTCGGGGGACAGGTGAAGGTGAAGGGGCAGGTGCAGTTTGATAACATCGCGCTCGGAATCCAGACTGCCGTGAATTGAGGAGTTCAAGGAGAGTTAAGGAGACGGATCTTGGCGTGCAGGAGGGGGTACTACTCGATGGGGAGGTTTTGGTTTCGGAACCGAGTGTGGCGTTTTACTCGCATTGTATTTGGGGCCGTCGTGCAGGGTGCGCTCCTGTCTGGCCTCACCACCCTTATCCTGACAGAGGCGCAGGAGTCTCGGCTTGATCGGGTGCTCGTCGGGTTCGACCGAAAGTTGCTCGGGGGCGACGCGCGTGCTAAGACGACGGTAGTGGACGGCGACGGCATGCCCATTATCGACGACGAGGGTCACGAGGTTATCAAGTATAAGGCCCTCTCCGATGCGGTCGTCCTGCGCAGAGTGGGGGCGGCGCCGTCGGGGGTCGAACTCTGTGTCCGCCGACTCCGCATGTATCGTCGCTGGCTCGTGTGTCCTTCTCGGCGCCCTCAAGAGATCGCTGCCGTGTTTGGGCAGCTCCCGCTAGAAGAGACCCCCGCTGTTTCGGAGAACTGCACCCTCGAGAAGAAGGTGAACCCGCATGCTCGCAGGTTTGCTCTGGATGTTTTGAGGCTCCTGGGCCGCTCCGAGGCTAAGGATCTGGAGGAGCTGCTCATGGTTTCGGTCTCGTCCCTGGAACCTTGGAGGCGCTTGAATGTTCGGGCGCTTTTTCTGAATGGCGATCTTCGTGGGAGGTATCTTGCACTGGATCCAGGCCTTCTTCGAGCTGCGGCGCGAACGGTAGCGATTCCCCCATCCTCCTGGATTGTATGGACCTGCTGAGGCCGTTCCCGAGTCGCCCGAAGTCGTCCCATCGCCGCCTGCGGCTACATGGACATGCGATCTTCGTGGTCCCGACGGAGCTGGGTGCGATCGAGTTTTCAAGACCAGACGGGCCCTCCTGGCGCACCAGAGGTTTTCTCTCGGGGGAGGCCACTCGTGCCGATCGGTGTTGCACACGGCCACGGTTACGAACCAATGTATTTTCTGCACTCAGACGTTTCGGACTCGGAGGATTGCCCAGGAACATCTCGTCCAGGCTACGCTTACAGGCAGGTGCTTCGTGTCGCCTGAGTCCCTGGAGTGCCCGTTCGTGTCTCTCAAGGTGTGCTCGGTGTATGGTGGGACCTCTT